ACATGCACAACTCAATGATGTTTTACTTGTGGTTAAAAACTCATCTACTACCAAACAAACGCAAAGACATTGATGAAGGCCAATTAACATGGAATATAATACAGCCAAATATGCTTAACAAAAATTAAATTCCGAAAAATATGTAGGTCACACAAGATGTCATGGCACAACTGTAAAGGAATGAAATATTATTTCACACCATTTCCAGACAATATAGTATTAATTACATTACAAAACAAGCACAACAAAGATAGTAATGAAAATAATGCCCCAAGTACAATAAGCCCAAAATTCGAATGAAATGCAATATATCATCAAAATGGACAAATAGATACAAATTTAAAATAAAAACACATGAGCCATCAACTAATTTAATATCCAAAGTGTTCCAAATCTTTTATTTCAGATTTTTCAACAAAGCAAACTACTATATCGATGCTAAAGGAAGGAAAATTGTCATCAAAGCATACTAAGACAAAAAAGTTCAGCCCATATGTAAAAAGTAGATGGGCATACAAGTTCTAAGTGAACATCACATTCAGAAAGAGAGCAAGGTGCGTATAAGAGCAAGAGACTTTTTTTTTTCCAAGTCAAACAAGCAAATTTATATCACTCAAACAAAAGGTCTTACAATACGAGGCCTAAATAGGCACAATAGCTGTTCAGTTAGCACAACCGCTAACCCAACAACAACAGAAAATCTAAATTACAAATCTCCTTGAATGGCTATTTTAGCCAGAGAATCTGAAACTATACAAATGCCACAATCAAATTTAAAACTACAAGAATCAAAAGATAAGCATAATAATGAGGATCAACTTCATCTGCATGTATACTCCCTGACATTAAATGCTCTTGGCACCAAGTCACAGCCTACAAATTATTCATAAAGCATATTACATTCCTCCAGATGTATTTCCGAGCATATTTAAGAACCCAAGATACCCAATTGTTCATAGTTTCCATAACCACCACAACTAATAGGTGGAAAGGCTAATTCTATCAATCATATGACTAACTTTAGAAGCAGTACAAATCTCCCCCCACCACTCCACAAACCCACACCTCTCATCTCTCAGACAGTCCCACTATATCCCTATCAACTTCCAGCACCTCACAGCTCTCTTACAATGAAAAAGAATGTGTTTCAAGTCCTCTTCCCCCTCACCACACACCCCACAAATCACATCACAGTCCACCCTCCTTTTTTGTAATTGCATATTAGCCCCCAAATTGTGCCAACATCCCCACAAAAAGAATTTAACTTATTCTGAATAGGAAGGGACCAAGTAACCCTCCACATAACCTCACAAGTAACCCTCCACATAACTTCAGTGCCAACATCACATTCCACAGAAGAATTACCACTCAAAATGCGGGAAATCTTGTGTACATGGATAGTGAATTTACATTCAAACACGACTTTAGTCAAGAATTAAACAAAGATACCCAGGTATACACATGGTAGAGAAAAATATCTTAAGAACAATGATAAACGAATAATTTACAACAGCATATAAACGAGCCCTGATTATCACACAGAGACACGACA